CAACTTACACTTATTTTTCACACACTGTTCTCAAACTGGACTTCTCGTTCTGTATAGTAAAAACACAACGATTGAAATCTTCTGATTCAGTTTTCAAATCAACTGTCCTATTCTCCTACCCTCGTTCTTCCTAATCAATCATACGCATTCATTCTTTCTAACCTTTTTCTTAGTTTTCTTCGTTTAAATCATAAATGTGTGGCATGTGTGAATCTATTTCAATTAGGTAAATACAAATAAAATAAGACTTACAATAAATTTAATTTTACCACCAAAAAAGACCGGTTTTGCTTACTACAATATGCTAAGTATCTTCAGGTCTAACGGTACCAAGTAAATTAAATACTAAAATTACAAAATCCCACATTAGGGTGTTATCTTCTAAAGACAACAATTACAGCAATTATGTCAATATTATTTGTCTGTGATTATTAATATGAATAAAATTGATAAGGCGGGGAAAGTAAAAACCTACTAATTGGTATAAGATAATCTATTAAATTAAAATAAATTAGTAAATAATAACCAAAATACTACTTACATGCCGGTACAAGAATTACTAATTAATTATTTGGAAAACATAATTCAAACTATCCTGGATTGCTGGTGATGAGTGATCGTCGGTTTGTATTGTAACTGACAATTAGCGGGGAAGTTCTTGAGGGGAGAGATATTGTAATTGTTTGTTAAATGAAAGTGATGTTTTATATTAATTAAATTATTAAAAGTTATTTACATTTATTCCAGACATATATTTTTAGAGATGTGTGTTAATTTTTTGAAGTTTTATTAAAAGGATAGTTATATAACAATTAATGAAGGTTGATGTATATTTATGAGGGAGTCCAATTACTTTAACCTGTAATTATTAAATTTTAATAAATTGAGTTTGGTTTCTGTTTTGGCTGAAAATTGTGAAGTCAAATATATTAAAATTAAAATAAATAAGGACAACCAAAGACACTTAGGGACAAACAGAACACAATTAAAAAGACAAAACATACATTCATTTAAAAGGGTACTTAGTGGTTGTACATTACTTATTAGGAGAGGCAATGGTAAAAAGTTAGTTTTTTCTTGTTTACTTGGTTTTTAAGCGGTAAATTTGACAAGCTATTTTAGGTTAAAGTGTGACAGTTCTTCTTCTATTTTTTAGTATTGTAACTAAAATTAGCAAATTTTGAAGTAAATAGATGCTGAAATAGTAATTAAATATTTAAATGGAAAATTGTAAGATAATATGCATAATATTGGCATACTTTTAACAATGACTAAATGAATTAAATTTAAATTTAACAATCGAAATAATTGAAATAATTTCTTGTATAAGAAACTTGGAAAGTCAGAATTACAAAACAAACTTATAAGTCAGTATTTGATAATAAAATATTAACCCAAATATATAATAAATATACAAAATTGAAAAACCTCTTGTCGGCGTGAATGAGTCGTCTGTATTGGTATGTGTAAAACTTTTTTAATTTTAATATATTAATATGGAAAACTAGATATTTGTTGATACTAAGTTAATTTTAAAATTCCAGAAAATTAACTGAATTATTATAAAATAATGAGGTTGGTAATTCTGGTACAAGATAGTTGAATACCGGATGTGGATTTGACTTCAGGTAACTGATCTACTATTTAAACGGTGAAACAGTAAATTTTAATCTTATTTTGAGTTTGTAATATACCATGACAAGATATAACGTCCACGCCGACAAGAACATTGGCAAGTCTGTTCAATAAATTTCTGTAACACTTTAACAATTTCAAATTTATATTCACTTATGGTGTTAAGTTTAACATCTCTATTCGACAACGTGAAATTTCTATTTGATTTAAGATTAAAATAAATTTATTTAAGTAATAATACCAGTCAGAACGATACTTCAATGTTATATTGGAGGATTTTTGACCACGTGTAAATGTAAAATCAAATTCTATACAATAAGCAGACTGGTAAACTGAGTAAACTTAAAGGATTTTTTAACATTAGGTTGAGAGAACATGTTAGATATATAAGCTAATGATCATCAGCAAGGAAAACATAACTGGAGCAAATCTATATGTGAACCAAATGAGAATTGAACGAGTCTCATAATACAATTACTTGGGAACTATAATCAATGAGTCGTGGGACAATACCCAAGAAATTAAATGTCGCATCGGAAAGGCAAAGAGTGCATTCTTGACTATGAGTTCTGTGTTCAAGAGACATGAACTCACTTTAGAAACAAAAATGAGGCTCCTTAAATGTTATGTGTACTCATTGTTTCTGTACGAAGTGGAAACGTGGACATTGAAGGCGGAAACTCTATCAAAACTTCACGCTTTTGAGCTATGGTCATACAGAAGAATCTTGAAGATATAATGGACAGACAAAGTCACCAATAAAGAAGTACTGCGGAGAATGAACACAACTGCGGATTTTGTTAACATCGTAAAGGGCCGTAAGCTGCAGGATTTGGGCCATACAATGAGAAATCAAGGCAGATACGAGCTACTTCAATGCATTTTACAAGGTAAAATTAAAGGAAAAAGGGCCCCAGGACGAAGAAGAATATCCTGGCTTGCTAACCTGAGAGTATAGTATAGAAAGACCTCAACAGAGCTATTTCGTATAGCAACCAACAAAGTCATCATAGCCAGAATGATCGCCAACGTTCGGAACGGACAGGCACCCTTAGAAGAAGAATGTATCTGATGTGTGGATTTTTAAGAATTTTAATATCTTAAATGTTCCAGGTTATTTAATAAGAACCATTTATTGCAAGAATTGTAACATCTGTTTGTGGGTCAAAAAAGTGTTTTGTACTTCGAATATGCTGTGAGAAATGGGATTGACCTGATGTTGGACGTTCTATATATCTAACATGTTCTCTCAATCTAATGTTAAAAAATTCTTTAGGTTTACTCAGTATACCAGTCTGCTTAATGTATAGAATTTGATTTTACATTTACACGTGGTCAAAAATCCTCCAATATAACATTGAAGAATCGTTCTGACTAGTATTATTACTTAAATTAAATTTATTTTAATCTTAAATAAAATAGAAATTTCACGTTGTCGAATAGAGATGTTAAACTTATAATCATAAGTAAATATAAATTTGAAATTGTTAAAGTGTTACAGAAATTACTAATGTTCTTGTCGGCGTATACGTTATATCTTGTCATGGTACACTACAAACTCAAAATAAGATTAAAGTTTACTGTTGCACCGTTTAAATAGTACATCAGTTACCTGAAGTTAAATCCATATCCGGTATTAAACTGTCTTGTACCAGAATTACCAACCTCATTATTTTATAATAATTCAGTTAATTTTCTGGAATTTGATAATTAATCTACTATAAACAATTATCTACTTTTCTTTAGTTTTCCACATTAATATATTAAAATTATAAAAGTTTTACACATACCAATATAGATGGTTTATTCACGCCGACAAGAGGTTTTTTAATTTTGTATATTTATTATATATTTGGGTTAATATTTTATTACCAAATACTGACTTATAAGTTTGTTTTGCAATTCTGACTTTCCAAGTATCTTATACAAGAAATTATTTCAATTATTTCGATTGTTGAATTTAAATTTAATTCACTTGGTCATTGTTAAAAGTATGTCAATAGTATGCATATTATCTTACAACTTTCCGTTTAAATATTTAATTACTACTTCAGTATCTACTTACTTCAAAACTGGTTATCCTTAGTTACAATACTAATAAATCGAAGAAGAACTGTCACACTTTAACCTACAATATCTTGTCAAGTTTACCGCTTAAAAATCTAGTAGACAATAAAAAAATTAACTTTTTACCAATGCCTCTCCTAATAAGTGATGTACAACCACTAAGTGCCCTTTAAAATTAATGTCTGTTTGTAATGTAATGTCTTTTTGTCTTTTTAATTGTGTTCTGTTTGTCCCTAATTGTCTTTAATTGTCCTTATTTATTTTAATTTTAATATATTTGACTTCACAAGTTTTAGCCAAAACAGAAACCAAATGCAATTTATTAAAATTTGATAATTACAGGTTAAAGTAATTGGACTCCCTCATAAATATACATCAACCTTCATTAATTGTTATATAACTATCTTTTTAATAAAACTTCATTAAATTAACACACATCTCATATATATCATATAGTATATATATATATATATATATATATATATATATATATATATATATATATATATATATATATATATATGTAATGTATATATATACCTATATCTATTGAATAATTATTGTAAATAACTTTTAATAATTTAAGTAATATAAAACATCACTTTCATTTAACAAACAATTACAATATCTCTTCCCTCAAGAACTTCCCGCTAATTGTCAAAAAATAGTTACAATACAAACCAACGATCACCCATCATCAGCAATCCAGGATAGTTTAAACTATGCTTTACAAATCATCAATTAGTAATTTTTGTACCGGCTAGTAAGTAGTATTTTGGTTATTTACTAATTTATTTCAATTCAATAGATTATCTTATACCAATTTGTAGGTTTTTACCTTGTCTGCTTCATCAATTTTATTCATATTAATAAACACAAACATATAATATTGGCATAATTGCTGTTATTATTATCTTTTTTAAGACAGCACCCTAATGTGGGTTTTTTGTAATTTCAGCATTTAATTTACCTGGTACCGTTAGACCTGAAGATGCTTAGTATATTGTAGTAAGCGAAACCGTTCGTTTTGGTGGTAAAATTAAATTAATTGTAAGTTTTATTTTATTTTTATTTACCTATTATTTTTTTCGTTTCTTTGAAACTCCATCTAAAGCTCCGACGCTTTGTTAAGGCTATTTGGTATATTAAAAATGTTGACGAGTATCGGAAAACTACTCCAACCCCCTCCTCAACCTAAAGGACCGGGTAATTTATTAGATAATTATATATCATTGTCAGGGAAGTTTTGTTGATTATCTATATAAACTTTCAAACAAAACCGTATATTTTTGTTGCAGACGTTGTTCAAGCATATATGGGTCACATTCAAAACAACGCGGAGGTAGCTGTAAGAGATATGTTGAAACAAGTTGCTAAAGAAGCAAAGTCAAGAATTGGCAAATCCCAATTAGAGGCAGAAGACTTTATGGATGACGGTTCAAAAATCAAACTTACAGTTTTGTTAGATGAAGAAAAGGGATCGGCCTACTGCGATTTTACGTGAGTGATTGCTTTTATGATATTTGTTAAATATATTTTTATGTTACTTTAATCTGTAAAGCCAAAGTACCGTTAAGTGTAGGGTTAGTTTACCTACATTTCTGAATTCATTACATTAATTAGAATATTTATAGTATATTTAGAGTTTACTATATTTATGCTAGTGTTTCCAGATTTAGTCATATGGCTCACACTCCCTCTAAGGGGAAAATTCACTCATTCTAGATACCTATGGTATTAAAAGGATTGAGCTCTGGTGGCACTCCTTTCGTGTTATCGAGCCCTAGGTGACTTGGTATGCTGGATATTTCCCAAAAATTTTCGTCGTCGCGAGAAGTAAAGCTTTCTGCATGGTTTTATAGAGATGTTCATTTAAATCCAGTTGTTTTATGTTCTATAGCAGGTTTTTGGGAATAACACCAGTGGTAGATAGAATAATAGGTACTGTCTGAGTACTTTCCAATCTCCATTGTCTCCTAATTTGTATTTCTAGATCTGTACTAGTCTGTACTTGGCGATCTCTTCGTTGTATTTAACACGCAAATTATTGATGTTAGGGAGTTTTACGTTGCCATGAAGTTCATCTGGGTTTTTACCCACATATTTAGTAGTTTCATTCAAATATACCTGGTAACAAAACTGATGATGGATTTGTTTGTTTGAAAGCATTGTGTGTGTGTGTGTGTGTGTGTGTGTGTGTGTGTGTGTGTGCGTGCGTGGGTGCGTGGGTGCGTGTGTGTGTGTGCGTGTGTGCGTGTGTGCGTGTGTGTGTGTGTGTGTGTGTGTGTGAGTGTGTGCGTGTGTGCGTGTGTGCGTGTGTGCGTGTGAGCGTGTGAGCGTGTGAGCGTGTGTGCGTGTGTGCGTGTGTGCGTGAGTGCGTGTGTGCGTGTGTGCGTGTGTGCGTGTGTGCGTGTGTGCGTGTGTGCGTGTGTTTGTGTGTGTGTGTGTGTGTGTCTTCAGAAAAAGGGAAAAACGGTCTGTGATGTAACTCTAGAGGGTTTTTTCCCCTAAAGTTTAAAGTCGATATACCTTTTAGTAAAGCATATTAATAATTGTATCATCAAGTGTGAAACAAGCCTTCATATCCCTAAGGGCGTTAATCGATACGATTGGAGAGCTGACCTAAAAATAAACTTATTATTTTACACAGCATATACCAGATCAATTTTGGACTGCGGAAGCTTTTTCAAGTATCAGCGACACAAGCTCGTTTAATTAAATTGCATCATCGCTATTTAAATTTTATTGGCCGCGCTTCTGAATAATTCTAATGAGCTGCAACCGAATCACTCTCACAAATTTCTTAACCAGGATATTTTGCATCGCCCTTGGATTCTCTTCCCTATTATCTTCTTTTGCATAATTAACCTAGGTAATACGTACTTCTCGCCCCTCATTATATGACCCAGATATTAAATCTTTCTAATTTTAACATTTTTTATGACTTCACATTCTTTCTTTAGTCTTTGTAACACCTCTATATTAGTTACTTTTTCAGTCCACGATATTCTGTGGATTCTCCTATAGCACCACATCTCAAAAGAGTTTATTTTTTTTATTTCAGACTGTTTTATTGTCCACGCTTCCATGCTGTATAGTAAAGTAGAAACAACGTAACAACGTAGCATTCATGTGCGGATCTATAGATTAAGGTTACGGTTGCAAAGTAAGTTCTTCAATTTTATGAACGTGTTTTTTGCCATTTCTATTCTAGATCTGATTTCTTTTTTTTTATCTCCATCTTCGGTTAGCCACGTTTCTGAATATTTTTATGTTGTTACTCTTTCGATAGTTGTATTATTGATGATCAAGTTATCTACATTTTGTGTTTTTTTTTGAGAATATTGTTACGTAAAAAAATATATGAGTCATATTAAAAACCGTAAACATATCTATTCTGACAGACGATAGGTTCCCCTCCGCTATAAAAACAACAATCGACCTTTCTGGAGACGAGCCGATGTAAGAAAATACCAGTTTTTTAGACCATTCTCCGCTCTGTCTACGTCGAGAATGCCATCGAACTTTCGACGATGTCCCAATGGTTTTATATAAATAACGGGATTTTTATTAAGGAAATTAGTTAGAAACGACGCCCGCGATCGTGTTTTAAAAGGTAACGCACGTAAATAAATTATGTAATTATTAGTAGCAAATAAATTGTTGTACAGAGGTTTAATAAGTTGATAATAAATTATCGTATTTTAGTAAATTAAAATAAGTACAATAAATTAGAATTAATAAAGACTTTACAGTGGTGTCAGAAGACAAGTGGAATAGTAAATAAAATAGTAAAAATGACGACGATTTACGAGCTCACAGTTACAAATTTAAGAATGCTTCTTAAGGACAGAGAATTAGCTTCTACCAAAAAAAAGGCTGATTTAGTCCAACGACTAAAGAACGCTTTAGAGGAAGAGGGTTTAGACCCGGAAACTTATATATTTGAAGATGCTGTCATCTCGTCGATTTCAAAACTAGAGAACAAAGTTTCTGGCGATATTTCGAAAGTTTCCGGTGACATCGCATCATTAGATAACAAAGTTTCTGGCGACATCTCTTCTTTAGAAGACAAAGTTTCTAACGAGATTTCTTTTCTAGAAAGCAAAGTTTCTGCTAACATTTCCTTGGAAATCTCTAAAGTCAAGTTGCTGCCGATATGTTGGCCTTCGAAGAAAAGATATGGAAAGAGATGGAAAAGAAGATTGAGGGAACAGGAATAGCAGAGAAAGTAAACAATCCAATTACGGTAGAGACAAAAGAAGACGAGATGAAATGTAAGTTGGAAACACGGCCGAAATTTGAAGGAAGTGGAGGTTCTGTTTACAGAACCGAACAGTGGAGTTAACAGCCGTAAGAAACTGTTACCAACGAGGTTGCAAGTGCGGACCACTACAGGTGAAAATGCCAACATTCATGGAGAAATCAAGGTACAATTAGGAATTGGAGCAGAAAAGTTTGTCCATACTGTTATAGTTGCTGACATTGAAGAGGATGGTAAATTAGGAATGGACGTAATGAACACGCATGGATTCCAATTGAATTTTAAGAATAAGGTAATCAAAGTTGGTAACGAGGAGGTATTTCTCCATCCACACGATGACAACACTATGCAAGCAGCCGTTAAAGAAGATACAGTCGTGCCTACGAGAAGTGAAACGATCATAGTAGCGCGGTTATGATGGAGGCTTGGATCCATGACGACGAGGTTGGCCGAGGAATCATAATTGGAAAGGAATTGGTGACATCAGCTAAAGAAATACCTGTGAGACTTATCAATGTCAATGACTATCCAGTAACCATCAAGAAAGAGACAAAAGTAGAAACTTGTGTACCTGTGACATCCATAATCCGTCAGACGACAACATCTGCTAATTCCAACGACAAATTCGACCAAATGGTTGCAGTTGCTGGACAGTCTCTGAATCAGATTAAGAAAAGGAAATTAAGGGAATTTCTTCGGCAGTATCGTGATATTTTCGTACCGAAAGGAGGAAAGACGGGAAGAAAAGAGAGGAAGCTGAGACGATTGTTCAGGAAATGAAGAAAGACGGGATAATAGAACCTTCTACAAGCCTATGGGTCTCTCCGGTGGTCCTGGTTGAGAAGAAAGACGGAACAACGAGGTTTGTGGATTACCGTTTGCTGAACAACGTTACCAAGAAAGATATTTATCCTCTGCCTCGGATCGATGACACATTGGACACATTGGCTGGAAGTAAATTATTTTCTAATTTGGATTTGAAGTCTGAATACTGGCAGGTAGAAATGGACCCAGTAGATAAAGCAAAGACAGCCTTCACCACAGGATCTGGACTATGGCAATTCAACGTTATGTCATTTGGACTCTGTAATGCTCCTGCGACATTTGAGAGGCTTATGAAAAATGTGTTAAGTGGGTTATCTTGGAAAACATGCATAGTTTATCTAGATGACATAATCTGCTTGGGGGAGACATTTGAAGATCATTTGAGGAAATTAGAAAACGTTTTTAATCGACTTAAAGCTGCCCAATTGATGTTATTTCAAGGCAAAGTCAATTATCTGGGTCATATAGTCAGTAAAGAAGGAGTGGCCGTGGATAAGGGAAAAATCGATTTTATTAATTCCATTAAGGAATGGCCAAAACCAATTGACAAACATCAAGTGAGAAGTTTTCATGGACTATGTACTAATTATCGGAGGTTTATTAAGAAGTTTGCAGATAACGTTAAACCATTAAATGCTAAACAGAGGAAGCAAGAGAATACCACTGGGATACAGACTGCCAAAAGGCCTTTGATACCTTAAAAAAGCATTTAATCACAGCACCAATTTTAGGGTATCCACTGCCAGAAGAGAGTTCATCTTAGATACAGATGCAAGTAATGTGGGAATTGGAGAAGTTCTGTCTCAGATTCAAGGAGGACAGAAAAGAGTCTTTGGATATTTTAGTAAAGTTCTCTCGAAACCTGAGCGGAATTATTGCGTCACGAGAAGAGAACTTCTGGCGGTAGTGAAATTAGTAGAGCACTTCTATCAATACCTCTATGGAAGGAAGTTTTTAATCCGAACCGACCATGCTGCCCTTAAGTGGTTGATGCAGTTTAAGAATCCAGAGGGTCAGATAGCCAGGTGGATCGAACAACTCATAAAATACGATTTCAAGATTAAGCACCAGGCCGGAGTTAGCCACCGAAACGCTGATTCTCTTTCCAGAAGGCCATGCCCAGCAGAGTGTTCCCACTGCAAAACTGAATCCAAGGAAGCAGCAGTGCTAAGAACGACGATGGTCAACGACGACTGGACGCCTACCAAGATAAGGGAAGAACAAGAGAGAGATCCAGTTGTACAGAAAATTCTAAAATGGAAAGAGGAAAACCGTCGACCACCTTGGCAAGAAATATCAAACCTATGCTCAGTAGTTAAGACGTATTGGGCCCAGTGCGACTCATTTTTCATGGAAGATGGCTTGCTCAAACGAGTCCTGAATAACGGTTCAGAGAAGAGAAGAAACTAAG